CAAAGCTGTCCTTTAAGATAAGCTTGGCTAGACCAGCTTTGAAGTTCAGTGAAGAAGCTATTCTTGCCTTATATTCAGGTGAGTAACCATCTCATCATAATAATGCCTGTTGTTGTCCACCGTTGATTCTCTCTCTCTCTCTCTCTCGCTCTGGTTTAACGAATGCATGTATATATATGGTTTCAGGAGATGTGAAATTTGCAAGCGGGCTCCAAGCGTACTTGTTATCGCGGGACCATTCTAATTTGAAATCAGAATTCCAAGAAGGAAATGGGAAGGTATGCACTTCAAAAATGCCGATCGTTACTTAGTTAATGCTTTTGATGAACCTAAGATTTGTTGTGTGCCTAATTTTTTTCAATTTTTTTTTTGTATGAGCAGATAACTGTAAGCTGCATCGAGAAGCTGCCAGTGGTGACTGTGGTCCTTGGAGACCATCTTCATATGACAGTCGGGGACTACTTGTTGAGCACGAGGAACTCTTGAGGAACCCCTCCCCTCTTCTCCTCCCCATGTCACTCCATCTATTTTTTTTTCTGCAAGACTTTGGTACTTTGTTGCTCTTTGCAGCCCTATAAGATTTTGCGGTTCTCATTTACTACTTAAAAGTAATGTTTTACAACGGTTGCACAAATTAATTAGTTTTGGAAAAAAATTTCGATACAAAGGGAACATTGCGGGTCAGATGAACGAACAAGTACTTCTACCGTCAGAACGATACAGGCATTGGCTGGAAGGAATCATTTGGTATAAAATGTATCGACTCTTGTTTCCATGTTGAATCACATAATCCCGAAAGTACAGTTGTTTCTTGGGTTGACTTGTTTAGATCCCTCTCAAGTCTCAACAACCTGAACCCACTCTAAAACTCACATACTTTTAATCTCATCCAAAAACCTCCGAATTTAGTCCTTCTCATCAGATTTATATCTGAACTTTTAATTTCTATTCAGCTCCACAAGTCCACTTAATTTCTTGTAATTGGGTTTAACAATTATAACAGAGTTTATGAATGTCTTGCCAAACTTTATGATTGTCTCCTGAGTCCTGACAACAGCACCACCACACAGTTCTTTCCAAATCCGAATCTGCAACTTTCCAAGTTTTATCCTGCTATCGAAAGACGCCATGAAGGAGCCAACAAGAGTTATCCGCGCCGTGTTTTTATACATATCAGCCTCCATGGTAAAAAGGTTTCTTATCTGCTGGCCTGTGTAGCGCTCCTAAGCACGTGAGTCATTTCAGTTCTCACTTAGGTATCTGCATTACGTACTCGTAGTGGATATGCACAATCTTGGAGTAAGTAACATACACTAATTAAGGTTTAGAAGAAAAGATGGAATGAGAAGGGCGTTGGTGAGGAGAGGCCTAAATGATATTGTAACAAATCCACATTGATTAATGACAATCGTGTAACTGTTTGGGAGACTCTCACAGTGATGTCTTTTTTTTTTTTTTTTTTGCTTCTCTCACAGTGATGTCAGAGAGAGTATTGATCTCATTAAACAAGTTTCGGTTGCAACAGCCAACAGACATGGGAAGTGTCACCCTAATCAGTGACCCAAGTATCAAAACTCAGGCGTGGTTGCCCTGAGCTCATTGACAGTCACATATTTGAATCTCGTGTGGAGAAAGAACATTGTGGTAAGCACTAAAACCAACAGCTCCGAATGAAACGATCCGACACCCACCCAGCCAAGATTAGTAAGAAAAGAAGAAAAGAACTAGATATGTCATTCAAAGTAGACCAGAATTTAACAAGAGATAATATATCTAAATGCTTTATATACTAAAGTCTAAGTCGCCTAGCGAATTAGATAACTACATATGAAAAACAGAAATATATTAAAAAAATTGACATATGGAAATGTGTTTTTAAAAAATAAAAGAAAACAATTGATTTTTTTTTTTTCTCCTGACACGCAAAGTTTTACTAAAAAGAAATTCGTTTCTCCTACTTTTCTTCAATGAAAATCTACAACTACCTAGTCTTATTTTTTTCTAGAAAACTCATGTTAACTTATATTTTTTGAAACTATTTTATTATCTTCTATATAAGTTAATCCACTTTCCTTTATATATATTGTCTCTGACACAAGTATCGTATCTTCAAAGGTGAGACTCTAAATTTTGACAATTGACGATCAATAATTCAAGGTTAATGTTCTCTAAATTTTACCTAGGGCAAGACCTTATATAAAACAAACAATCATTGCATTATTGCATCATGTCTACAGCATCATAAAAAGAAGTACGTTTTCCATTGTGTTTTCCTGCAACAATAATATAAGTTCACGTTTTTATGAAGAATTACTTTCACCCATGTGCATCCATAATCAAATATTTATTATTATCTTTTCTACGCTTATTAATATGAATTTAGATATTAATTTTCACGATTTTTGTCAATTATATTTTTGAAGATTCTTTTATATATTTTCTATATATTAATTTAACAATAAAAAGAGATAAACATGAATAACTACCCACGTTTTTTATAATACAAACTAATATCCTAATTATTCTCAACTTACCACCATTATCACACGATCAGCCATGAATTTTTTTTTAACCATGAAGTTAGTTTACAAATTATTTTCTTGTCTTTTTCACCATCTTTTTATCTCTTTTTTTTTCACCATTGTTTCAACTCTCTCTCTTTTCACCATCGTCAATTCTTAAACACTCTGCTGAAAGTTTTTGTTTTCTATCAATTTTCTTAGAATAATTCTTCTCTTCTTCTTTAATACATAATCCTTTCTCTCATTCTGCATAGCTTAGGTTGAAGATGCCATTGGAGTATACTCTTATTTCTCAGCTCAATTCATCTAAAAAGAATGGAAAATCATAGTACGGTCTTCTCGGATTTGGGACTACTATCCGAAAGATAAACTTGAAGTTGTTCTCGGGATGAAAGTTATCCTTGTGGATGAAAAGGTACATACACTTTGATGAAAAGGTACACACATTTAAGTTCAAGATACACGACTCTTTTTGCATGATTCACATTGACGATATCCATTGAATTTGCTCGGCTTAGTTCTTTAAAAACTGAATAGAAGTCAAAGCATTGTCAACAGCATTTGAGGCAATAATAAGTTTTTACTACTCTGTTATATAAATGATTTTTAAGTTAGATTTTACTACTTTTTCTTTTTTCTTTATCTTTGACAAAAAAAAAGAGATTGCTTAATTACAAATTTGTTTTTTTTTTCAGTAGCTTATTCTTAACGAGCGTGAAGATTTTGATATATTTTTTTCAGCTAGCTATGAAAAACTTCCAATGTTCTTGAGTTTAATCTTTCTTCACAAAGAAGTTTTGATTATTATGTTTGTTATATGGCAAAAGAAAGGCTATTTCATTGTCTTACCACTGAAGAACGTGAAAATGGCATTGGTAACTAGATTAATATCAGTTGTTAATTAAACTATTTTAGTTAATCATAATTAATGTTATGAAATTTATCACTCTTCTGTCTCATATATTAATTTTGTCATTTTACATGTTAGTACTGTTAATCGATTTACATTCATGCATTTTTCTCTTATGTAGTGCTAAGATACATGTGATTTTCTTAAATATATATTTATGTTATTAGATTTGCAGATTTATCTGAAGATGAAGATAGTAACACTCAAAAGGCAAATGATTTTTCAAAAATGATATATATTAGATTAACAAGAAAAAAGTAATAATATATTAAATAAAATGTGTAAATTGTATAAGTAATCAGATTTTAAAGCTATGTGGATTAGTTTTTTTTAGTTTCTTTAGTTACATTATTGTTTTGTTATTAAAATTCAATTATTTTGTTTTGTCAATATATATATATATATTTTATAACACTGTTAAATTTGAAATGTTCAAATTGATACAAAGGGGAGAAACAAAAGAGATAAGATGAGATGTCATTAGACACCAAACAAAAATGGAAAAAATCTTACCAAATTCATTTATTGCTGAGCCTCCAAAGTGAGTAAGTGATGTAGCCACATAGGAGCATTTCAGGCGATGTAGGACTGGTGACGCAGATCACGAATGACACTTAAAGAAATTGCCGCTGCAGCTTCATTGCGTTCAGGTTGAGTGTGATCCAAACTCCATGAATCTATCCATGCCAGGAGAAAAGAGATATTGTGGCGAATATGACTGTGGCTATGGTGTTCATCAGGATTTGTTGTGAGTACGTCATGTAGAATCTCCGACAAAGTCTCAAAAATAATATTTGAAAAATGTAAATTATGCAAACATTCAACTGTCCAGAAAAGAACCCATAAGTCTGCCTATGTTTTTGTTCGCATACATGAATAAGCTCGACGGGTTATGCATGATTGTACACCCATTTTCATCACGCAAAATCCATGAAACACCACTAAGATGGTTTGAATTCACCCATGAGGATCCAAAATTGCATTTGAGGAGATCATTGCGCGGTTTTTTTCATCAAACCATTTTCATATCGACATCACCCACTTCAACCTTCATTCCTATAATGTATCAAACCATGTGAATTCTTTTTCATAGGCTTTCTTAGTAATAAACGAAGACTCAATAACCTTGATTGCATATATAATTCCTAAATAACGCTTCACTATCAGTTTGATTTAGTACATCCATGTAACTCTTAAGCCTTGATTACATATGTAAATGTAATTGTTTTTTTTTTAATAAAAAACATTTTATTTTACTATGTAATATATATATAGAAAGGAATTAGCCATCTGCGCTATTGCGCGGGCAAATATCTATAGTACTATACTCCCTCTGTTTCATTATAAGTGTCACTCTACAGCTGTGCATATAGATTAAGAAAATAATTAATTTTACATATTTCCTATATAAAAACACAGTTACCTATACACCTAACCATATTTTAACCAATAGAAAAACTAATTACATAATAAAATTAATAAATTTTGCATTGAAAACCGAAAACGACACTTATTTTGTAACGCAAAAAATTCTCTACAACGACACTTAATATGAAACGGAGGGAGTATAAAACTTAATAATAAGAAGAAACTTTTATTCGATTAACAACTGAAATTAGGAGAATTCAAAGAGACATAATAAAAGAAGAAAACATAAAAATGCAGTACATGTTAAACTTATTAATCATTCGGAAGAGGTACAATCGTACAAGTATATCATTCGCACTTGGGTATTAAAGAGACGTAGCGGATACAAACATTTTGAATTGTCACGAAAGAGCCAACCCTTGAAGCAAAAGCATCTATAGCGGTTTGGTTGCAGAGACATCTCTGGACGAGAGAGCAACAAGGCAGTAATAACGAATTGAAGTCAAATTGGTCCTTGAAAAGACCAACGCAAGGGGAGAACTTGCTAGTGTCTGTTGGGCAGCTCGCCATCGTCAAAGTGAAGAAGATGATGTTAATTGTCATGAAAATGATGTATGATGAAAATTTTGAAGCCATTTTTAGAAATATATATTTCTAGTTGAGATAGGTGTTTTTAGTATTTTAGGGAGTACTGGTGAAGAAAAAATGAAATGAATATGTGCTATATATATACACCAATATTTAAGCTAGGGGCTGATTACATGACAGTTAAATACAGTTGTCATTACATTTTATAATATGCAGTTATGCACAACTCATAAATAGATTAATAAAATTTGGATGTCTTTTATGCGATCATTGACTAATAATTTAATTTATATCTTACATGGGTTTAAACGTTCTAAATCCTATATCTTCAAAACGTAAATACTTCACCCTTTTCTTAAAAACTGTCATTTTTAACATTTTTACGAAGATTAAGAAAATTATCTAATAAACGAATATATTTTTATTTAATATAAGATTAATTAAACAAAAATTATTTTAAATAGAAATATATTAATTATTCATAAAGGTAAAATATATATTTTAATTTACAAAGTTACATTAAAATCATAAAATAACACTTTTTGAAACAAAAAATAAACTTAAAATGAAATTTGTATGAAACAAATGGAATATACTTCATCCTATATCAATATCTCGCCTATTCTTGATGGAAAACAGTTAAAAAATTAGTAGTTGAGAGATTCTTCACAAAAAATGTAAAATATTCATGTTTAATAAAGAGTGGCACGTTAGATTTAACTTTTTCTTTATTGAAAACTTTATTCTGTAATTTCAATGAACATTACACATTAAATCCATGTTTTACCCTTTTGAATAATCAATTGATTTATTTTAAATTATTTCATTTAATTAGTCATGTACTAAATAAAAATATATTATTTTATTATACAATTTTCTAAATTTCCATGAAAATGTCAAAATGATATTTTTTTTAAGAAACAGTAAAAGTAATTTATAAATACCTAAAAATGGAATAACAGTTTATAATAATTTATAATCAATAGTACATTGTTTTTAAAAGAGATTTTATTGATAAAGTTCTTTAATTATTAATGAATCTAAAGAAATTTATCAACTAGTATAACTATCATATTAAAAGAGAAGTTATGAATCACTTCGTTTGTGATTTTTTGGTTTCAACCATCCTTATAAAATTTTACATAACGTCATTATAATATATTCATATCTTTAATTTTTATTTGAAATACAAATAAATAGTTTTAAGAAAATTCTAACAAAATCTTTTAAAAATGTTTTCAAGATATAGTTTCAAAAATTATTTGATTAAAATTTGAATTATCATAAAATATAATTAAAATATTAGTTCATTTTTTATTTATAAACAGAAAAAATAAAGT